GGGTCCTTTGAAAGCTAAATCAAATATTTTGTTTTTTTTTCACAGTAAAAACCTCATAGGATTGTCTATACCATTGAAAATATAGAATGACTACCGAAAATGTACATCGGTTGTATACCAATAATTCGTAGTATTATTTTAAGAATTTTTGTAAGTTTATGTAAGTTTCTACCATTTCAATGTGTATCTAAGAAATACTTTTGATTGAAGAGTTTTGAAATTAACTCACTCAAATTTTTAATTCGGATTAAGCACTACTAAGGGATGTGGAATATTTTAACTTTCTTCATTAATGTTCACAGTTGAATTGATATTATATATGGGATAGTTATTGAATAGGCACATGTTTTCAAGTATATACAAACTTCAAAAATCCTAATTTGGCCATTGAATCGGAAATTATTTATTCACCCTGTGGCCCCATCCAGAATACTGGACTTTCCCCGGCCAATATGGAAATCCACACTTCATGCCAATCATTTGAAATTCTTCTGGAAAAATAAAAATAAATTAAAAAAGAAACCAAAAATCTTTTTAATTTTCAATGACCTCAAGCCGGAAAAACGAATAAATAAAAACTAAAGTTCTTCTGGGCCCTCATAATTAAAAAAAAATGATTTTGAGACTACAAATCATTTGAAGTGACAAAAAAGTCAATTGGTTCATTATCCACTCCTGGGCACTTATAATAAAAGAACTTGATTTTGAGACTAATACTGATCTATGGACATGTAATTAAATAATCAGTTTAAATTCTCGCAAATTTCCGCATTTAGGCCACCTTGAAAAAATACTGATACGAAAACATTCATATATGTTCCCGGAGAATATTCAAATAGGTCGAGATGTTATGTTGCAAGTCCAGAATCTATCTGAATTTAGAATGTTGACCACTGAAGGCGAAATATATTTTTATTTATTTATTTCAAAAAATGCTATTTGAAGACTTGAAGGCCGATTTTAATAAAATTGCAAAAATACGAAAATCAAAGCTTGATCAATTCTGACTACATCTGTACCGGCAGAGTAGCCTTGCAAAGCAATTGAAATGACAAATAAGTAATTTCGTCTTCGGAGTTACACACAGGTTTTATAATTCGTTTTATATAAGGTATATATTTTTATAAAAGAGGTTTCGGATTAAAGGTTGATCAAATCGGTTATTCAATTAGCTTCAAATTAAATTTATAAGTCTATAAAATATTGACCCTTTTTGGGGAGGATACCATAAGGAGAGCACCAGCGGGTTCTACCTCTGGACTTACTCTGGACTTGGTAACCATAATAGGTTGTGTAAAGTTTGGTTCAAATCTGATATTCCATTTGCATGATATTGGATTTAAAAATATTTAAAATTTTTACCATTGTGGGGGATGTATCAGAAGGAGTGGACCAATGGGTCCCATCTTCGGACTTGATCTAGGCTTGGTAAAGATAATATGTTGTGCAAAGTTTAGCTCAAATCGGATAGTCAGTTCACATGATATTATAAAATTAATAATTCGCACAATTTTCACCATGGTAGAGGTACTAGAAAAAGTGGACCGATATTCGCCATCTTTGAACTTCAACTATGTTTGTTAGAAATAATACGAAGCCGGTCAGACAGACGGACGGACATTTGAAAATCGAATCCAAATTTTCTGAAATGGATTTGGTCCAAAGAAACATGGGGTTTAAAACCAATATTTCGATGAGGCACATTTTTACCGTATCAAAGTGTATATTAGCCATAGGGTATAAACATGTAGAATCTGGATTGCCTAATTATATCTACTTCATTTGCTTATGACCATGAAAAAAATTGTCACAATGCCGAAAATGGGACAGTAGCGTTATATGGGAGCTATTACAAAACTTGAAACTTGAATATAACCCATTTTTAATACCAAATATCGTACGATTAGTAGCAAATATATGCCACTTTAAATCTCTATCTTGATAATTGTGATCTGTATTGTGATTGCAGATCGAAGGACTATTAAATTTCCAACGAAAGTTTCGGGTGTTGCAAATAAAATGGCCACTTAACCTTATGGTGGAGGGTGTAAACATGGGCAAATATGATGTTTTTTAGGGGACAAAAACCAATTGACATCGAATTCGTTAAGACCCGCATAAGGGAAATCACTTTCATGTTTCTAAGATCAATTCAATTATTTTCAGGGGGTTTGGAGATTTTCACATAAATAATACAAACACGAATATCGACAATTTTCTACCAAGCGGATCTCCATCAATTCTCAATGTTGATATCCCTATTTCTATATTTTGTTCAACATTTGAGGACATTGTTAATGACTTCATGGTCAAATAGAAAGTGCCTTCTTTGGTCCCGAATCGACCCTTATATCTTCATTAACAAAAAATCACATCAGAATTGTTATATTTTCATAAGGATTATATGATAATCAATCACTCAGATGAATTAAATGGCTATAGGGACCTTCAAAATTAGCGAAGTATTATCAATAATTGTTTTTACTATCAGAATTCCCACATTTGAATTATTATATTGCTATAAGAATTCCTTAAACATAGAATACCGTTTAGATGCCCTCTTGATATTGATATACAATCTTTGAGAAGTCTTATGTGGGTATAGGTACCTTAAAAATGCCGAATTATTATCTTTAATAGTTTTTTTTCATATTTTATGAATTTTGACAATAATAGTTTTGAATTGGAGTAACTAATTTTGAGGTATTATTGAAAGGTTCCTTCAGAAAATTTCGGCACTTTGAAAAATGGCTTAGGATTACAAAAAATTGAAAATTAATATTGGTAGAGACCAAAATGTCTTTAGTAATCTGTTTGTCGATAACAAAGCCCTTTTTAAAGTAATCATTAAATTGTACAGTGAAGTCTCGATAATGTGAACACTCAAACTAACATGGACAAAAATCAGAATGTGAACATATTCGAAAATATGAACGTTCACAGTTTTGGTTGTTCACATTATCGAAAGTTCACTGTATTATTACATTAATTATCAGATTTTGATTTTATAAAACAACTTGTCCTACATACAATTTTTCTATTCATAATTGATTTTTCCATATTTTAGGAATTTTTACAATAATGAGTTTGATTTAGAATAACCATTTTGGAGTTATTATAGAAAGGTACCTACAAGGATATATGTAAACACTTTTGATACTAAAAAAAAATCTGGATAGAATTACAAAACATTGATTATTGATATTGACAGGGACCAAGAGGTCTTCAGCAATCTGTTTGTCGATAACAAAATTCTTTGCACAGCAAACATAAAGTTGTTCACTTTATACTTTACATAAATATATATTATATATATATATATATAAATATATATATATATATATATAAATATATATTATATATATAAATATATATTATATATAAATATGTGTTATACTGTACATAAATAATCAGAATTTTAATTTATAGAACAAATTTTTATACATAAAATTTTCCATTCAGAATTCATCGAGGATCACTTCCTCATTTCTTTTATAAATATTTTCACTTCAATCCAATCTCTCTTTCTCTTTACCACATCTTTTAATAATAACTCTATATCTCTGACTCTCATCTAATTTTTAAAATTTTAGTTTTAGTACAATATTTTAACATTTAAGAATTTCTTGGGTGTATTTAGCTTTCCTTTTTTAATATGTTTGTTTTTGAAATACTTTTTCTATTTGCTTGTTTGCAGTAGTTGTTGTTACTATTGATTTTTTCATTCATTCTTTGTAAATTGTCTTCGTTTTAATTAAATATAGTATATGTATATGGTAAATATTTATGTAATTTCTAACACATTCATTCTTGTTTAATTATTATTGTTTAATAATGCTTTTCTGTTAACATAAAGGGGGAAAGTTCTCAATTGCATGAATTCTTTTTCCCCATGATTCAAAGATCCATTCACATTCGTTATGTATTTCGTTATGCCTTATACAAGAGAAAAAGGCTATCTATATATGGGCATAAACGTTTCTTTTTTGTTATGGATTTGTAAAGAACAATTATATTTTTTACTGATGTTTTGTTTTTTTATTATTTTTATTTTTTTTTCTTAAATATGGTTGTAATAATATTGTGTAGTATTATTATTTTTAATTTTCAACAAGGATTTTTCTGGTTCCATTTTCTTATTGGAAAGCTTTAAGCTTTATTAAAAAAATAATAAACATAAAAACAAAAAAAATTGTAAATTACTAAAATTTGGTTTGGATTGGGTAGCTAGGTATGTTGGTAATTAGGTAAAGGTGTTTTTGTTTTTGAAAACAAAACCAAAAAAATATATAAGGTTTTAAGCATATTTTGTTTTTTGTTTTTGGAAAGAGAGATACGGTACGAACACAACTTGAGCTTATTTTCCTAAAATAATTTCATTATGTTGTGTATAAAAGTATTTCTTGTACAAAAAAAAAAAAACAAAATGGATTTTTAATTTTCATTACGAAAAAACAAAACAACGAATAGAAGAGAAAAATAAGAAGACTTTTGTTACCAATACTCGGCGGGCTGGCTTAAAGTTTTGTTTAATTTTTTTTTGTTCATATAAACAAATTTAGAAAAAATAAATGTATTGGAGTTTACTTTTTGTGTTTTGTTAAAAACCACAAAACAACAAGGAGTAGTAGTTTTTCAACCCAAAAGAAAAATGTCTACACAAAAGCCATTCATCATCATTCAATCTATTGGAAAATCATAAAAAAACAAAGCATTTCTTCTTTACAAGAACAACAACAATAACAACAACAATAACAAAATGTCTTTTTTGTTGTTGTTGCCTGTACTTTTTGTCGTTGTAGGCTCTGGCTTAGTTTAGCATATTGTATTAAGCAAACCCTTTTTAATTTTTTGGTTCTAAAAGGTTTTTGTTTAATTGTTGTAGAAGAAGAAGAAATTTTGTTTTTTATATTTCACAAAATTAATGTTTGTGGCAATCACCCATCCTCCTCCTCCATCGTTGGCGGGTGATATTCTCACTTTTGAACAATTTTGTTTCAATACTCCATGGAGTAGTTGAGGTCTTAAACACCCACAAAACCATAGACTTCAAGGACACGTATTTCAAAATCACCCGACGGACATAGCGGTGGATTGTTGAATGTTTTACAGCTGTCGGTTTTGCCAAAGCGTATATTTTCATCCATCCAAATAGCTTGGCCCTCACTGTAAGAAAAAGGAAATTGTTTAAATATTTGTTTATACATTGAAAATATTTTATTGTGAACATACCCTCCTCCAATGGTAATCATTTTCGAATCGGCCGCCATAAACAATTCTGAAGCGTGTCCCAAATCTTTGTCATTTTCAATACCCACCCATGGATATTTGGCTCTTTCGGGATATAGAGAGAATAAGAATGTTTCACCCGTACCAAAGTAGGCCTGTCGTTGGCCTTTGTCATCTTTAACATTACGTTCGAACCAACGGGATGAACAATAGGCTCCAAAGACCTGGAAATAGAACGTAAAAAATTGTTATTAATAATGAAAAAAATAGAAAAACAAATATATTTTTTGAAGGAATATTATAAGGGTGGATTTTTAAAAAAATATTTTTTCAAGGTCCACAGACAGGCGTTGATTTTTTAAAGAATTTTTTTTTAAGATCCATAGACAGGCGTGGACTTTTTAAAGAATATTTTTTCAAGATCCACAGACAGGCATCGAATTTTTAAAGAATATCTTTTCAATTATTCAAACAGGTTTGTATTTTTATAGAATATTTTTCAAGGACCATGTACAGGCGTGGATTTTTCAAAGAATATTTTTCAAGGTTCAAGGACTTTCCAAAGAATATTTTGTCAAGGATAAATGACATTATTAGCCTGGATTGTTTGAATTTTTCGAAAAAATATTTTTTCAAGGACTCAGAGACCTTAAATTTCGTGAAGAATATTTTTTAAGGAGCCTGTAAGGGTCCCTAAAAAATATTCTTTACGAAATTATGGATTTCTTTAAATTTGTTTAAACCCAGAGACCTTAAATTTCATTAAGAATATTTTTAAAGACCCTTATAGGAGTGGATTTTTTGACAAACTATTTTTTTCAAGGACACAGAGACCATAAATTTCGTAAAGAATATTATTAAGGACCCTTACAGGCGTGGATTTTTCAAAGAATATATTTAAAAGGACCATTAAAAGCGTGGATTTTTTAAAGAATAATTTTAAGGGCGTTAAAGGTCAGGATGATTTTAAGAATATGTTTTCAAGGAAAGTTAGAGGCGAGGATGATTTAATAAAAGGGCCTGCATATTTTTAAAGAATATTCTTTAAAGGTCCTAGAGACCTTAAATTTTTTAAAGAATAATTTTCAAGGTCTGTCTTTCCGCCCATCTGTCTGTTGAAATCGCGATAGGGCTCGCAACATTAAAGATAGAGCTTAAAAAAATTTGATGGCATAAATCTATGTAGATAATGATTATTAGCTACATTGTCCAACCGAAGTGGATTGTCTAAAATTCGGCATTTCATTTACTAAGAGGAAGCATTTCCTGACAGAAAATTCCGATCGATTTTAGGTGTATTGTTGGTAAGAATAAATAGTTTCAATACAGGTTTAAATTTCTATGATTGCCAGTGTATCGGCGAAATTGGTAAAAGATCTTTCCAGGTCTTTTGTAATACGTCGTCATAGCTGATTTTGATTGCTATTTTTTGTAAGAACCACCATATCTAGATTATTAATTTTTCAATGTCGAACAAATCGCTATACGAACCTTCGAGATGTCCAATTTTTAATAGACTTTTTGTTTAATAGTCTCGAAAACCCATATGAAAGTCCTTTGGAAAGAATTCTTTCTTAAAAAATCCTTTATTTTTTTCCTTTATTTTTAGCTGCATATTTAATCTACAGAGTCGAAAATGTCTCACGAATATTTCCGTCTTCAAAGGTCTTCGAAATGAAATACATTTGGGAGGACTTCTTTATTTAAAAGATTTCATAAGTGAAATGCCTTGTGCCCATGAAAGGCTTTAACAAGTTATTCCGTTATCCTTTATAATCCTTCTACCTCTAAAAATTCTCGATATGGGGTTCTGTTTATAGAAGAGCTCTAAAAATACTTATTTTTCAGACAATAAAGAATTTGCAGACGATAAATGTCTTTACATAGATCACTGCATATTGAAAGCCTTCTGTGAGTAGAAGACCTCTATGTTTATAGACTCCTATACATATTAGAACCCTTCTAATCAGGGAAGACTTTCAATATACAGTAGGTCTATTTAAAGCCATTTGTCGTCTACTTTTTTTAAGGTCTGAAAAAATAAGTATTTTTAGAGCACTTCTATTGAATCTCCTAGATATTCTGACTATAAAATTCCTTTAAGTGTTCAACACCTCTATATTATATATCAAATCTATACACGATCACTAAAAATGCATGCTGTCTATAAAGACCTCTCTGGAAACTCTTCCATTTGAAGAAGCCCTCATGAAGGAATACTGACTTTAGAAGTACTCTTGAAATACCTATATGCATAGTCGTCAAATAGAATACCTCTACAGGCAGTAGATCTTACAAAGGAAGATCTGACTGTCTATGAAACATCTTTAGGAATTCTTCTGTATATAGAACACATACTGATGATTTCAATCTATTGTAAACTTCTAGAAGAACTTTAGAGAGTTGTTTGCTTTAGAAATACTTCTGTAGTGCAGTCAGCTTGTGGAAGTCCTTGTCGGAGGGTTTTGTCAAGCAAAGATCACCCGAATGTATTCAGTCCCTAGAACCCTTTGGGACGATTTTACATCCATAGAAGACCTTATACGGATATTTCATCACAAGAAGGCCCTTGAAAAGTAGTCCATCTGCTTGTACCATATGTCTATAATATCTTCAAAGGCATTCAAAAGTTTAATCCTAAATGTTCCTTTATCATCCTCATCTGTCACCAATAAAACTTTTTCAAATTCGTTAAAACAAAAAATATATTTAGAAAACTTACCTCATTATTGCACGTTTTTATCATCATCAGTGTCGGTTCATGCTGTTCAACGCGAACATAGAAAGTTGTCAAGGAGCAGCCATGTTCCTCGGTGGTATACAATAAGACGGGTTGATACATTGTTATTCGCACAGGAAGCCATGACCATAAGGTAAACAACTGTATATGAAAAAATACGTGATTAATAATTTTGTAACAATAAATTGCAATTAAAAAACTTAATAAAAGAAAACAGGAGAGAACAAACACACACACAACGTAACAATAAAAATAAATCATAAAAGAGGAAAAAACTTAAACAATATATTCACATTACATGCGATTAAAAAAAACTAAGCATTCTTTAATAAAAAAATATTTATAAACAAAACAATATTAAATAATATATGCTAGCTTAATTAATAGTTTATATTAATTAAAAAGAAAGTAATTTCATTAAAGCAATTAACAATGTGTATAATTAAAAGTGTTGTTTTTTGTTTGTTTTCAAAAACGACAAGGAGAGGATTCAAATTTATTAATATCATTTTTATATTTTATAATTTCGAAATAAAATCGGAGGATTAAATTAGTTAATATAATTTTTATATATTTTAATTTAGGATTTATAACATTTTTTTAATAATAATATGTTTAAATTATTTTAAATTAACTATTATTTTATTATTCATTATTAATATTTTTTCCATTTACATATCTTCTTAAATCCTTTCCTTGTCAATAATGTTGCTCTTCTTGTTTTTTATTGTATAGTGTGATATTTTGTGTATTTTTGTTTGTTGTTCTTTTTGTTATTGGGGTCAAGTTTTATAAACAAAAAGTTTAAAGGTCATATGCAAATGTCTGCATTTTGTTATTTCGAAGGATTCTATGCTTAGATTTAATATTCATTTGTTATTATTGGTTTTGGGATCGGCACGCACACACTGGACGAAAAAAACTCCGATGACATGGGGAGAATGAACGAAGTAACGAATATTATACATATATTCCAATTTGCTTACATTAAATCTTTCCTGAATAAATTTTATTAAACTTTTAACATCCACTGTATCAAAATTCTATATATTGGGAAGAAAATAAAAAGAATTCACTCAATAAATTTCTGGGGATTTTTGTAAACAGAGACTAATTTAATTTTTTAGTTTAGAACTATTTGTTTGGGTTAACAACTTGGTAAACTTATTCTGAGGACAAAAGAATAGAGTACTATTGACGCAGAAATTATGTGGAGATAATGAAGACAAATAGTTATTAATAACAGAGGGGGAGATTTCACAAGGGATAACGCAGAAATTTAGTTATTGAGAATGGGTTACAAATTGGCATTAATGCTTTCAAATATTCAACAATTATTAGAATTAACTAAAAGAGAAACCTGACTGATTTGAATTCATATACCTAACATTTAGTTTTTATTTTATATTTATCCCACTCAATTGATAAATTGAATGTAATTTGTCGTCGTAAATTTTACCTTTAGATATTCTTACAGTAAACATCAATTTTGGAGCATACTTTTAGGCGTAGTAAATATAATGACCGTCATATATTTAACGCCACGGTCAAAACAAACAGATTGACAAGATTTTTTTACACAAATTCTTGTAGAAAATGTTAATAAAAGTATTGCCAAAAAAGCTATTCGAAATTCGGAGATTTTCATTTATAATTTTGTTTTTTAATTTTTTGGTTCAACATTACAACAACATTTTTGACATTTATTTGTCCAACAGCTGGGTCGATGCGTCTACCTTATTAAATATACCTTGGACAGTGTCTTATAAACTTTTAATGAAACTTTAATAAAATTCGTTCCCTTTGTTAACTTTATTCAAACCCGCTCCCAATAGAAATGGATGGATCCATAGCACAATAAATAGGTAGTCCATTTAGCGCAGCTGATGTCTCGATTAACTGTCAAAGTGCGTAATTTCTACTTGTCAAACAATATTGACTATGACAGCAAGTTTGAGAAGAACCTGATATCCAGCTCGTCTCCCTGGATGACCTTATTAATAGATCTGGACCATTATGTAGCGGCGATGGGGTGGTGATATCTAGACATGCTCGATAGAGGTTTTTTTATGTCTTTTGACACCAGATCCTCCTGGCACATCGGATTTTTTCATCAAGCTATGCTTAGAATGGCAATATATGATATGTTGATGTAGGAGAAAAATCTTCGTCTCCGTATTTAGGTGGTTTACTGGAATTATGATGAGGCACCCTATTGCATTTCGCAAGGCTGCGTTCTGACAAATCATTACTGTCCGTGGAACACACTGGCCGCAGACCGATCTTTTGCATACGTGGTTAAAATGTATTGTTGGCTTGTGGCCTTTTTAGCATATCACAGATATTTGTTGTGGTACCCACATTTCAGATGTCTATGTGGTAAATAGTGTCGTTAAAGAAATCGTTGGGAATTTTTTTAATATTCAAAAAATAAATAAATACAAATAAAAAGGAAAGGAAGGTGGATAATTTGCTACAATGAAACTATTTCGTTTGCTGACAAATTTCTCTGGCTTAGTGGCACCATCCTGAAATTATTCTAGGCTATAAACAGATTTGTTATGTAGCGGAGGAGTGATTCAATACTGAGTACAGAAGTATAAGAACTGGCAGCTTTGCTCGATTTAATTAGCTAGAAAATTTGTGACGTATGTTGATTACAGTAATTCTTCATTTGAAAGGGAATGACTTAAGGGTTCTTCGATACAGGCGATAAATGTGAAATCGGTTCTTATGCCATCAACTTTGCCCGACATAATTAGATGGACCACCCTGACTACTTTTTAGGTTATATATAAACCGGTTCCACATGTTGGGGAGGAGTAATTCAATACTGAAAGTAGAACTGAAGTCTGCATGTTTGCTGGCAGCCGTGTCTTACATCATAAGCGGGGCTAGCAAAATTGTAATCCATGCTGACGAGCTGCAACTGGACAGCAATTCTTCGTCTGAAAAGGATTAATGACTCAAGGTTCTTCGATACAGGTTTTACATGTGAAACTGCTTCGTACGATGGCAAATTTGCCTGGCTTAAATGGGGAACAACCCTGACCATTTTCTAGACTACAATGATTAAAGACATGTGAAATCGGTAGCCTTGTCTAACAAAATCGTAATTCAGGTTGATGCTCAGCTACTGAACAGCAATTCTTCACCTGATAAGGATTAATGACTCAAGGTTCTTCGTTAGACGTTTTACATGGGAAAACGATTCGTATGGACAGCCTTTACACCCCCCAAAACATGTTAGGAGAGAACTTAATAATTTAGAGATATAAGCGTGAATCCTTAGGAAAACAAATGTATCGAGCAGATACGATAAGGATTAATGACGCAAGGTTCTTCGTTAAATGTTTTACATGGGAAAACGATTCGTATGGACAGCCTTCACACCCCCCAAAACATGTTAGGAGAGAACTTAATAATTTAGAGATATAAGCGTGAACCCTTAGGAAAACAAAAGTATCGGACAGTTACGAATGAGCAGTAGTCCGGGCAATAGAACAATACCATATGAATGCTACACCTGGAGACCATATCCCATCCATACATGCAGAGCAGAAGTAGCTGATTAGCAATCTTCCTGAATTTAGACGCTGAAGAGGTGGATTTCTCAAGGACAATATAATTAAAAAAAGGAAAAATAAATTTCTCGTCAATATTGTGCCTTTTTAGGAACATTTTCTCAAGAGCCACTATAAGGTGTGCATTTTTTAAAGAATATTTTTAAGGACTATATGAAGGCATGGGTTTTTAAATAATATTTTTTCAATGAATGAAAGAGCGCGAACTTTTTAAAAATATTTTTTTAGAACAGTCAGTTTTTGGATTTTAGTTTATGAATATTTTTTTAAGAACCAGTACAAGGCGAGTATGTTTTAATTAATATTTTTTCAAGGACTAACTGAGTGGAGTTGAGTTTTAGGAACAATATTTATAGAGATTACAGATTTCATATCGTGAATCCTTTAATTATTCTTCAGATTAATAAAAGTCATTGTGGATTTTTAAGGACTATCAATGTAGAAGTTTTTCTGGTTGTATTAGAATAAATTAATTTTTTTTTTATAAATATGGAAAAAATTATGAGCGCCTAAAAGTATGCTGCATTTAATTGAAAGAAGACGCAAAGCCCTAAGTTTTTTTGAATTAAATAATCCATATAATATTCTATCTAAATCGTGTGTAAAAAAGTGTGTAGACATTGTGTTTTATTGTGAAAAAAAAAATAAAAAAATAATACTATTCCTTCAGGAGAAAGAAAAAACTTAAAATATCTTTTCATTTCCAAATCTACAACATAAATATCAAGACATCTATAGAGAGAGTGAAAAAAAATACATCGATATAATTTTATTTGATTTTGGAAGTCGATTTGAACACCAAAATAATCACACTTACATCCTCGTTTGCACAGACTAAAGATTTCAACTGATGTATGGGATAGACACCCATGGCAATGGCACGATGGCCGGGTGATTTTTCACCCTAATATCGTTAAGCAATTATTGTTTTTCAATTTAAATATATAAAAAAGGTAAAAGAGAAAAGTATATATATTTTTATAGAGAAGTCAAAAGATAAAGAAAATAAGGAAAAAAGAAGTTTTTTTTGAAATAATAAAAGAAGACAAATGGCGCCGAAATTTGAAGCAGCAAAATAGCGCATGGGTTTTTATATTCATTTTTCACAATTAGATATAGGAGGCAGCAGCATTTTTAAACGGATATTTTTTAGAGTAAAAAAAATGGTAGAGAAAAAAAAATTGGAAATAACATGGATTATTAACAAAATTGGATGGATGATAAATTATGTGGAATTTTGTCAATAGATAACATAATTTATATTTTGAACAATCTCGAATTTTGATCAACATAAAATAAAATTATTTACAAAAAATGGCTTGAAAGCAAATTTTTCAAATGAAAGTAAAATTATTGTCGATACTGAAAATGAAGACCAATAAAAATGTGAAAGGCAATTTAGGTGGAGTTGGGTTAGTTAGAAACATTTCCTAAGCAAGGAAAATTATTCAACTTGTTTAGGATATAAAATAAAAATAATGAAAAAACACACACACGTCGTTAAAACACACAAAATTAGAAACAACAGAAAAAATTAACAAACAAATAAAATTATTGAACAGAACAGAACAGAAAAAAATATTATCTATTTTCATACCAAGTTCCGACAAGTTTCGGTGTGATGTGACTTCTATGCAATGTGGAGCGGAAAAATAATGAAAGATTTTGTTTGTCGATTCGATTTACGGAATACAGGGAAAGTAGCCATTACAGTAATAACATTATAGTATGTGTTTGGACACACGCACACATACATACACACAGAGAGATTATATGAAATCAATAATAATAATAAAAAAATATGAGAAAAAGAGAGAAAAGAAAAAAAGAAGAAAAAATTCTGGTGATATTTTTTCAACACACTCACACTACGTAAACAAAAAATATGAAACTAAACTAATTAACTTATAATATTTTTTTATTTTCCTACTATTTTTTAATTGGTTGTTAGTTACTTAAATTAAAAAGTGTTTTTACAATAATAATAAAAAATAATAAAATATTTTATTTTTAATTACTCAAGCTAAAGCTACTTAAGATAAGCTTAATTAGATTACAAAGTGGAGGGTGGGGTGGAGTAAGGCAAAGGGTGCTGTGGGGGATTTTAGTGTTGGTGAGGGGAAATGTGTGACCATAGCGTAAGGGGGAATTGCAGTTTCTCAACATGAAAAAATAAATCGAGATTGTTTTTTTTTTGTTTGGATTTGGATTTTTTTAAAAGAAGAAAAATGGTTTAGACTTAATTTTAACTGGAGATATATAAATAGTATCGATAAACTACACCAATTCTGAATACAATATTAGTTTTGAAATATAATTTTAAAGAATATATTTTCACAAATATTTGGTCACCAATATATGAGGCTTTTAAAAATATTTTATTTTTAAAGGGCCAATACAAGGGCCTTTGATTTTTTATTGACCTGTAAAGCCCTAGATTTTATGTCTGAAGCCCTAGATTTTAAGTCTAATCTGAAGGTGTGGATTTTTTATAAAAATATATTTTTTTATGGCGTGGATTTTTAAACATTATTTTAAAGGACTATCTGAAGGCGTGGATTTTTTAAACATTATTTTAAAGGACTATCTGAAGGCGTGGATTTTTTAAACATTATTTTAAAGGACTATCTGAAGGCGTGGATTTTTTAAACATTATTTTAAAGGACTATCTGAAGGCGTGGATTTTTTAAACATTATTTTAAAGGACTATCTGAAGGCGTGGATTTTTTAAACATTATTTTAAAGGACTATCTGAAGGCGTGGATTTTTTAAACATTATTTTAAATCTGAGGGCTTGGGCTATAAAAAAATTAATTTAAAGGACTATCTGAGGGCTTGGATTATAAAAAAAAATTAATTAAAATTCTCAAGGACTATCTGAAGGCGTGGATTTTTTAAACATTATTTTAAAGGACTATCTGAAGGCGTGGATTATTTAAAAAATATTTTCAAGGACTAACTGAAGACGTGGATTATTTAAAAAATATTTTCAAGGACTAACTGAAGGAGTAGATTATTTAAAAAATATTTTCAAGGAATAACTGAAGGCGTAGATTATTTAAAAAATATTTTCAAGGAATAACTGAAGGACTATTTGAAGGCGGGAATTCTATTAAAAAAATATTTCAAGGACTAACTGAAGGCCTTGTTTTTTGAAGGCGGGAATTCTTTTAACAATTATTTCAAGGATTAACTGAAGGCCTTGTTTTTTGAAGGCGGAAATTCTTTTAACAAATATTTCAAGGACTAACTGAAGGCTTAGTTTTTTGAAGGCGGAAATTCTTTTAACAAATATTTCAAAGACTAACTGAAGGCCTTGTTTTTTGAAGGCGGCAATTCTTTTAAAAAATATTTTCAAGGACTAACTGAAGGCCTTGTTTTTTGAAGGCGGGGATTCATTTAAAAAATATTTCAAGGACTAACTGAAAGCCTTGTTTTTTGAAGGCGGGAATTCGTTTAAAAAATATTTTTAAGGACTGTATGAAGGCTTGTATTTTTAAAGAAATATTTTTTAAAGACTAAAACACGCGTAAATTACAAAAAACATTTTAAAGGACAACAACAGGCGTAGATTTTTAAAAAAATATTTTTCAATGACCAAAACATGTTAAAAAAAAACAAAATAGGTTTAAAAAAAAATATTTTTTCAAGGACCAAAACAACAAATTATGGTTTCAATAAATCTTATTTAAAAAAATCTACGGCTATGTTGGTCTTCAATAAATCTTATTTAAAAAAATCTACGGCTATGTTGGTCTTCAATAAATCTTATTTAAAAAATCTACGGCTATGTTGGCCTTCAATAAATCTTATTTAAAAAATCTACGGCTATGTTGGTCTTCAATAAATCTTATATAAAAAATCTATGCTTATGTTTGTCCTAATGAAATGTTACTTAAAAAAAGCTTCGCTTATGTTGGTTCTAAAGAAAAGTTATTTAAAAAATCTACGCCTATGGTGGTCTTCAAGAAAAAGTATTTAAAAAATCTACGCCTATGGTGGTTTTCAAAAAAATGTATTTAAAAAATTTTAGTCTTCGAACAAAGAGAAAAACATCCACATATGTCTGTTGACTTATATTTTTCTTCTGACCATCAATGCCTACTTTTAGGCATGGAATTTTAAAAAGCAAGGTCTAATAGTAATTTATGTATATTAATTTGTTATTCAACTTTAATGCTATTCAGAATTGGTGTATTTCTTAATTTAAATCCCATAAAAAAATATACCTTAGACTATAACCTAAAATATTATTCCCAAAATTTTATTTAGTATAAGACCCTTTACTTTCATAAAAAGAAAAGAAATTGAATTCAAACTCACCTCTCTTATGGTTAATGTGTGTGACATCATTTGTATATTGACTTGGGATTGACTTGTTGGTAAATTATCGCTGGAACGCGATTTAACTAATGTTTTATTACCCGTATTTAAAACGGAACGGCTTTTCAATAGCATTTCAGTCTTTAAAAATATTCTAGAAATATATGTGGAACTACAAAGCAAAAACAAAAATAAATTAATATGATTTTTTAAAATAAAATAAAATTAAAAAATAGAAACCCACCTTAGTCCCCTAATACTAAAAGCGGCATGTAATAATTTGGCCGGTGATACTGGGATTTTTTTGCAGAATTTTATTAAAGCATTGCCAATGTCATTTTTAATATTATCTGGACTCCATTCGTTGTTCGATTGACATTCCTTGTGGAATAAATTGATAATGACGAGGGCAATGCGATAAAGAACTTTAATGCCTTCATGAAAGAAACAATCCATAATGCGTACTAAATGCTGGAAGGGTAGACCAGCTAATATCCACCAGCACCAATCCATAAAAACACGTTCCAGCTTAACGCCTGGACAGATACGTTGAAAATATGAAACGGCATTTTTCTGTAAAAGAAAAAAAAAACAACATCAATAATAAATATTATTAGAAAAATAATTCGAATAGAATAAATTGTTCTTACCGTATGTTTTTTGGCAATTTGCATAACTGTTTTCCATGTAACTTCATGCAATAATTTGGTTTGATTTATGAAAACTTTATCCTTGCTACCCACCAGGGCGGCCAAACAATGGTATGCTTCTTCTTCTGCAAAAAGAGAAAAAATCGAAGACAAAATATTAGTTGTAAGTTGAAATAGTTTCTAAAGATATTTAAATTATAAAATTAATAATGAGTATGGTGGCGTATACGTTGTGTCGTTATTCATACGCCCACACATCTCCTAAATATATTCAATAAACAAATTACTGTCTTTGAAGGTCTTTAAAAAATATTAATTTTAAAAATCTACGCTTATGATGGAACTTAAAAATATTTCTTTTACAAATCTACGCATATGACGGAACTTAAAAATATTTCTTTTGAAAATCTACGCTAATGATGGAACTTAAAAATATTTCTTTTAAAAATCTACGCCTATGATGGAACTTAAAAATTTTCTTTTAAAAATCTACGCCTATGATGGAACTTAAACATATTTCTTTTAAAAATCTACGCCTATGATGGAGCATAAAAATATTTCTTTTAAAATTCTACGCCTATGATGGAGCATAAAAATATTTCTTTTAAAAATCTACGCCCATAATGGAACTAAAAAATATTTCATATAAAAATCTACGCGTATGATGGAACCTAAAAATATTTCTTTTAAAAATCTACGCCTATGATCAAAAAATTCACGACTATATAAAAATCGTGGCTTTTAGCTCGAATAATTCTTTAGATCTTGTTGGCGTATACATTACGACAGTATTCATACGCTAAGGGGTACTCCAAAACATATTTTTTGTTTATTAAAAAATACAAAATACTTTATGGTAATAATTATCATCACATGCTTCCCATTATTGAATAAGAAACACACACAAAGTATACAAATCGTTTGTGCGAGAAGCCAAGAATCAAAAATTTGTATACATTAATCGTGGCGTTTGGCTTCAGGCCAATATATTCGAAAGTAAAAAAAACGCAACAAACCAAAAACTTTGATTCTATTTTCGATGTTGTTTTTGTTGTCGATGTTTGAATATACACAGCAAACGCATAAAAAATGAAAATTACATCCATCAACGAGAATCTTATAAATTCAAAAAAAAAAAATCAAATTTTAATTCGTTTATACTCTACATCAAAAAGTAGAAATGAAAATATCGTAATTTTTTTATTAAATTAGATTAAGGAGATAAATTTGAAATAACAGATTTTGGAATAAATTTAATTATATTTGCAAAAAAATTATAGAAGAAATCGACAATATATTTTTTACTCTTTACTCTGGTTGGCGTATACGTTGTGGCGGTCATCATAAGCTCTAGGGTACCTTGTGGGTAATTCAATTACATTGAAGGGCAAATTTAAGAATCATTTTTTAATGTGTTGATGTATACTCAAAAGTTAAAGGTAGTTCTAGAAACTCTTCCTTATTTTTTTTTAATTGCTACTACAATTTGAAGTGATTGGCGTAAGCAATGCTTCTATGAATATTTGTCCAATATTTTCTAATTTTATTTATTTTGACAATTAATTAAATGTATCGCAATAGAAGGTAGGGAGTTCAACGGGCATTATTTGCCAACATTTCATATGATTGACCCAAATAATTAACTTTGTATATATATAACACAATCTAGTAGTATAATGAATGAAATGTTTGAGAAAACAAATAACATCCGCTATAAATTATGTTTTATAACAAAAAAAAATAATTTGAATAATATAATAAAGGCAAACATTATTATATTTCTGCGTAAAGAGCAAAACAAGTGGCAAGAAATATACATGCATACAAAAAATTTTAATGGTTATACTTATTAAAAAATATATATATTTTTTTAATTTCAAACATATAAACAATAAAATCTGAATGGAATTTTTCGAAATAATAAAAAAATAACGAATTAGCTATAGAGAAAGAATATATGTACATATACATATAGAATAAATTCACACTGAGGTGATTCATAAAAAAATTTGGAAAATAAAAAGTTTCCCAAATATCATGTCAAATCAACATAGATTTTAAATCACATGATAATCTTAGGCCTTGTGCCAGAAAAAAATGATGCGGGAAACATATGAACGAGGGAATAGAAATATGTTTTTCCCATGCCTAAAGCACGTGATATGTCCATGCATAAGTTTGCCGTTAAATTAAACCTATGGATGGAAGATCATGGACTAAATGGACTAAAATATGCGGACCAATTGTAGGTATTGTATACTGGAAACTAATAAAGGTGTTTAATAAATTTACGCCTTGTAGTGATCCTTAAAAAAATAAATAATAAATAATCTACGCCTTGTATTGGTCCTATTAAAGTGGTTGCGTATACGTTGTGTCATTAAGCATACGCTAAGACGTTCTCTTAAATGAACGAATTAATTCATGGGATATTGTTATATATTAAAAACGTATATTGAATGATGTTGTCAAGAAAAAAATTAAATTTTATGTTGGAATATAAAAAATACTACGCCTATGTTTGAATATAAATAATATGCTTTAAAAATTTTACGCTTATGTTGGAATATAAAAATATTTTTGAAAAAATCTACGCCTATGTTGGAATATAAAAATATTTTTTTAAGAAATCCTTGAAGAACTATTCTGTATGAATACTTGAAAATCCTTGTATGGAACCCTTGAAAAATATTCTTTAAAAAAATCACACTGAAAAAATATTCTTTAAAAAATCACACTGAAAAAATATTCTTTAAAAAAATCACACTGAAAAAATATTCTTTAAAAAAATCACACTGAAAAAATATTATTTGAAAAATCCACGCCTTAATAATCCTTGAAAAAATATTCTTTGAAAAATCCACGCCTTAATAATCCTTGAAAAAATATTCTTTGAAAAATCCACGCCTTATTAATTCTTAAAAAAATATTCTTTGAAAAATCCACGCCTTATTAATTCTTAAAAAAATATTCTTTGAAAAATCCACGCCTTAATAGTCCTTGAAAAAATATTCTTTGAAAAATCCACGCCTTAATAGTCTTTGAAAAAATATTCTTTGAAAAATCCACGCCTTAATAATCCTTGAAAAAATATTCTTTGAAAAATCCACGCCTATTATAGCCTGTTAAAAATATTCTTTAAAGCATTCACGCCTAAAAGTATTCTTAAAAAATTCGCACTGAGAAAATGTTCTTGAATAATCCACGACTTCAAAATATTCCATAAAAAATTCCAAGCCTTGTATTAACGATTTAAAAGGCAGTGAGCGGAGCAGTATAGTCGTACGGGACCGACCATACGATACCCTACACAACTACCACGGAAATCTAACTTTCTGCGGATTTTTATTCCGAACCTGGGCAATATTTCGTGATAGTTTCACACTTTTGCCCGATTAGAGGTCAACAGCTCCTCTTCCTTACACTGACATATTTTCCGAATATTTCTAATATTCACTACAGTTCTTCTAATTACTTGTCCAGATTCCATTCACCGTGGGTTGTGTTTTGATGTTTGGCTTATAGTTGTGGGCTATAGATCGACTAGAAAAAACACACAAAAAATTAAGTTTTCGGTCCACTTCATCCCAAAATTATAATCTGATCGTCAACGAAAATTCTAGGTGTTTTTTTCTGGACCATAACTGGAACCTTATGGAACATTTCACATCGATCAGCGCTATATTTCCGCCTTCCAGTGTGTTAATGGGTTACTAAATAATATCGGAATATGTAAGCACCTGTTAATATTTAAGTGTAACTCTCACATCCGAGTACATATGACAAAAAATTGGTATCGATTCAAAGGTCAACAACTCCTCTTGGATATACTATAAACTTCTCGGGTCTATGTCCTTCAGGGGCAAATATATACGATATATACGAATACAAATTTTGTCATTTTTCACACAAAAGTCTGGGTCCATTTGACCCGCTAAATATTGACCAATATTTATCAAAACCGACATGCTTATTCATTGGCCCGATCCCGTTCTCCATGCAAAATATTGCGATGTTCGGACCATAATTGCGGCCTCTAGAGCGACCAGAAAAACCAACAAAAATTAAGTATTTGGTCCATTTCATCCCCTAAATATTAACCGATCTTTACCAAAAACAATAGGGGCCTTCATTGGCCAGATCCCATCCTACATGCAAAATATCGTAAAGATTATAATGGACAGACGGACGGACGGACACACATGTCTAGATCGACTCAGCTAGTCGAGATATGACGATCGATATACTTGAAGGTGGGTCTAGGACCAATATTTCGCGGCGTTGCAAACTCTTGGGGCTGCACAAAGCTATAATACACTGACAACATAATTGTGTATGATATAAAAATCTACGCCTCAATAACCTTGGAAAAAATATTATTTACAAATCGACCTTGTAATGGTTAAAAAAGACTAAATATTTCAGTTATAGTTACTGTAGCGTATTAGTGTTGTCGTCAATTATACGACATAGTGGACTTATATTTAAAAAAAAATCCACGACCTTTGACAAATAAATATTCGGAGATATTCGTTAGAAAGTATGTGTTCTGATATTCTTAGTATCCTCCATGAAAATCCATGAAAAGAATATCCTCGCTTATTACAGACCTTAAAATAATATTCTTTAATTATTGAAATATAGCCGAGAAAATACTGAAATATTCAGCAGCTACTAATGGGTTCCTAAAGATACAGCAAGATTCTTAAATTTATTTATTAAAATAATTTCAAATTTACTAAAATATTAGTTAATGATTTTGTTCCAAAACGGTACATCAGGCCGTATAAGTAACGACAACACGTATACGGTCTCTAGGTTCGTAGTTAATAATTTGTTGGGCGATGAAAATACGACATAAGCGAGAAGTCTTTAAGGAATTTTAAGGCAGTGTGGATGTTTAAAGAATATTTTTCAAAGACCAACGAACGATGGATATTTTAAATTTCTTCAAAGATAAGTAGAGCTTCGACTTTCTTAAAAATATTTCTTTTTCAATGTATAGATCGTGAATTTTTTAAGAATATTTACTTTTGTATACACAAACAATTTTATGACCCTTTCTTGCACTGTGAATGTATCATAAAGTTATAAACTTAATTAGAAATTAATAATTGATAAGGCC